CTAAATATATTGAATTAAAATTATTGATTTTAAAATCCATAATTTAAAATTCAATTGATTAAGCATTTTTTATTTATCTTAATAAGTCTTGAACTTATTCTTATTTTTTTTTGCATAGAATAAGCAAGTAATAACGATAGAATATATCATCATAATTTTTAAAAAAATTTTAAGACAAAATGAGATATAAGAAAAAAAAATTATTTTTTATTCATTTGATTTTTAATAGAAGAAAAATTGCCTTTTATATTTAAGTTATTAAAATTTCTAAATTTAGTTATTAATAAAGTTATTAAAAGTTCTAAATTTGAAATATCACAAAATAATTAAAAATTATTTTCACTAAAATTAGAAAATTTTTATTCATTAATATAATTTTCAACAAATAATATTTTTTATTATTTATCAAAAAAATAATGTTCGATAAAAAAGTTTGGACTATATTTGAAATAAATTAAAGAAAATTAATATGTTAATTAACAACATAAAAAAAAAATAATATAATGGATATAAAAAAGAATTCAAAAAAAGCACGCTTGAAAAAACAAAAAAATCAAAACTTAAAAATTTTCTTGCGACATTTCCAAAAATTATCTTTCATATACAAAAATATTTGTAAAAGCAAATTTTTTTCATTTTATTAGAAAAATAATTTTATCTTTATATCAAAAAAAAATTTTTTTTTATTTAATTAGAAAATTAATTTTATCTTTATATGCAAAGAAAAAAAAAATGTTCCTAAAATATCGCCTATCATTCTGATAGACGTCGCAGATGAAGAGTATTTGGAAAAGAGAAAAGCAAAGGGGAAAAAGAGGTACGATAAGTAAGATTGATCGTACAGCTCTCGATTTCTACGGTGCAGTTCTGCGAATCGAGCGGGTAGTAGTGCAGATCCATCATGCAGGCCAGAGTCGTCGTGAATCTCATGCCATAAGTGACAGATCCGTCTCCGGACAACCGAACGAGTTTATTACGCTCGGTCACATCGTGTAAGAAACTGCGAACAAATCGAAAACATTTCTTTATTCTATTCCGCTACTTATTCTAATTTATTATCGGATTATAGAAAATTTCAGAAAGATATTTAATAACAAATTCAGAATATAAAAATTGGTGATTTGAATATATCATTTTAAGAAAATATATCACATACAGAAATATGCAAGAAATCTTTATTATTTATCCTTTTTATTCTGTTAAACTCTATAAATTATCCTCTATAAATAGATATATATTTTGTGATAATTTTTTTATATTAAATGTTGCTCAGATTGAAATATTGAAAGAAACACACTATTACCACATTTATAATGTTGAAAAATACATTTATCGATAAAATTGTTTGATATATAAATCTCAGTATAGTTTTAAAAATTTTATGTTAATATTTTTTATTTTAAATTAAAATTATGTTATAATTTTATATATTTTTTTTTTATATGTTTTTAGAGTAAAAGATTAAAAATTTATAAAAATTTGTGGAAATATTAGAATCCCAGATTTTTATATAGAATTCCAGAATTTAGATTATGAAAGATATACAAATTTTTACATATAATATAAATATATATTCTATTAGATAAAACTTCATATAGTTAATTCATAAATAATTTCAAATAAATTTTCAAATATTTTTCGAAGGTTCAATCTTATTATAATATTACTGTAATTTGTAATTTCTTTTCAATTACAATACATATAATTATATTATATTTTTTAATATATTATAATTTAAAGCTATTTCAAAAATTTGCTTATTATTTTATTATTATAAAAATATTCTTCAAATCGTAGAAATATTTTATTTAATTTATATGTGATGTATTTATTCATGCAAAAAATTTTGAAAAATCCATCATTTAACATTAAAAATATTCTAAAAGTTTAAAATTATATAAAAGCAAAATTGTATTTATTAAAAAAGAATTATTATTCAAAAAATTTTTTTAATAATATTTATATTTATCCTTACATGCTTATCTTATAAATAATATATAATTATATGTATAAGAATTATATATCATTTCTTGTTTTTTAATAAATTAATAAAAAGATAATCTTTATTTGTTTTAAGTGTGGTAATTTTTATTATAGTCGTAAATCGATTTACGAGAATTTTAATATTAAGTCTTAATAATATTTAATATAAGGTCTTAATAATACGACTAATAATATTTAATGTGTCATATTCAATTAATCATCAATTTATATATTGTGATATTATAAAAGAACTTTCCAGATTTGATAGATTATTTTTTTTTAAATTAATTTAATTAATTAATTAATTAATTTTTTTACTATTTTCATTAAAATTGCAAAAATCATCTAAAATTAAAAACTTCTAAGTTTCGATTATTTTAATAATATGAGAAAGATTTGTAAAAACTATTAAAATTTTTTTTTATAACGTTTGATTTATTCGCGATTTTTTTTTTCGTGAAAAATATAGATTTTAAAAATTACTTCGACATACCTATTTTTGTCATTGGCAAAAAACGTATCTGGAACCCAAATCTTTTCCGCAAAATCTCCACTAAGAGTGAGAACTTCTTCTTCTTGAGAAAATGCCAATCTTTCGTCCTTCCAATATTGATTTAAATACATTGTTATCGTATAATCCTGTAATAAAAAAAAATAATTTTCTATCTTATTGGTTCAATTTAGTAAATAAAAATATATTATAAATAAATAGAATTAATTTTATAAAATTTTTTTTTAATTCATTAGTGGATGTTGGACTTGTCAGAGTCCATAAGTTTAAGGTGGCTTTTGAGCTTGAAATATAGTAGAATCTCTATTATCTAAATATATTAACAATCGAATTTTTTATTATTCTATTATTCAAGCTATGTACCATTTTTATTTATGATAATATAAATAGAAAAATTTTTTCTATAGTATAATGGAAATAAAATTTAACTTAAAATTAACATAAAACATATTTATATAGTATATACAATAATGTAAAAATATAAATATATATTTATTATTGAAATGGAATTGTAAATATTTAAGAAGTTAAAAAATAGTAAGAATGCAACAGAATTAACAAAACTATATAATATTTGGAAATCTGTAATTATGTATAAATCTGTAATGATTTTAAAAAATAGAAGGAAACTTATTTATATATAAAAAATTTTTGACAGTTAAAAAAGTATGTGATTTTCAAATTTATAAATATCATCCATTCTTTATATCATTTTATATTTCATTTTTATTGTAAATAAAAAATTTATTTTTCTAAATATAAAATAATTATTCTAAGAAAATGTTGTGTTTCATTATTCGAAAATTTTTTTATCCGAATGATTCTCATTAATAGAATAACAAAGATTTCTATTATATTATTAATAAATAAATAAAATTTTTTATAGCTAAAATCTTTTCTTTATTTGAAAAAGAATCAAATCATTCTTCCTTATAAATAATAATAACAAAATTATATTATATAAAATTATTATATTAATTATAATTAAAATATTAATTAAAATTATATTATATAAAATTATATTATATAATATATAATATAAACAAAATTTATTGCTTATTGAAAATTACAAATTA